GCAAAAAATTGTTGAGGGACCAAAAATGTGCAACTCACTAAAGTTGAGGGACCAAATCTAGCATTTAACCTTAACTAAATTTTCTTACTTTATAATTTTATATTTTTAAATAATTAATTGCGATATTTAAAATTATTTATTTATAAATTTATTGTAATATATAAAATAATTAATAATTATTATTTTATTAAATATTAATTATTTTTAATAATTAAATTAAAATAAAATTTTAACAATTTTAATAATTTTGACCAAATTAATAATGGCCATGATCATATGCTAGACTAATCTGTAGAAAATTGGCCCATTTAACAGAATTTAAACGTTGAAATTGGCCCAACAACGATGAGATCTGGGCAGCCTGGCCAACTCATAAGGTCCAACAGGCTGGCATGATTCTCTTCCCCTCCAAGAATTAGAGTAGATTTTGTGGGGGATCACCGAACATGGTGATCCTTTACTCCTTAGGAGTTAGGTCTAAAAAGGGACCTTTTAATGGTTTGAGATGACTTTTTTTTTTTTTTTTTGAACAGCGGGAATTTTCATGGGAAGGGGATAGAAGGGCATGCAAATCGAACCCAAATCATTATGTTTAACCACACATTTTAAAGGAGTGATCACTAAATCACTAAGAGTTGGATTAATGGTTTGAGATGATTTGATACTACTTTGTTTAAAAGCTATAGTGATTTGATTCAATATCGTTACCTAGCCTTTTTTTTTTAACAAGTTACAATTTTTGAAAAAGGAGATTTAAACTCTAATCATATGATTAAGAGATACACTTTACAATTAAACATATAATCATTAGATCATAAGATTCAAGTGCCATTGGTTAGCCAACTTTTAAATTGTGAAAAGGCTAAATCTCTAATAAAAGCAATCATAATGCCATCAAGTATATAACTGACCTCTCCCTTTTTATGGAGAAACTTTGGTGTATTTTTGGGATATCATTGATATGGTATCTTTAGTCAACTAAAAAATATCATTTTAATTCTTTTTTTACACCTTATCAATCATCTATAAGAAAAAAAATGTTAAAGTAGTGATTTTTGATTGATTCAAAATACCACATTAACAATATTTTAGGGAAACAGCAAAAATTTCTCCTTTTTCTGGGCCGTGCTTTTCTTTCTTGATGCGGAATGGAGAATTTTTTTTTTTTTTTTTTTGATAAATAAAAAAATAAAAATTTAAAACAACTCGAATGAGTAAATACATTAATATATAATGTTGTATCCAATTGCAACAAATACACATTGCCATACATGTCTAGTAAATCTAGCAGTAAGTTCATAATAAAAAAATGCATGAATTACCATATATGTTCAAGTTGGGTTGGGTTATTGACTTGGGTTTGGGAAGACTAGAATT